ATGATGTTAATTAAATTATATAATGTCCTCATACCTTACTGTTGCATTAATATAATTTACATTTTGTGACGGTACTGGCAATCAAGCATTTAAAATATACAGTATAGTATACTGTATACTGCCATACAAAGGCAAAGTGCAGTAACTACGCAAACAAAGAAACAGAAAAGGGCCTTTAAAGTTTTTATATCAGGCAGTCAAACATGTTATGGGTAGATTATGTGGCAATGCATCTCTGAAACAGGACATAATTTAACCCAGATATTTTTTCACAAGACAGAACACACGTCATAAAGCCTATTACAAGTCTTAACTCAGTTTTGAACAAAAAAATGTGTTACTGCGCTTTGCCTTTGTAGGGCAGTATACATCACCCTACGCGAGTTTTCTGTATGCGTGCGGATGAAGTTGGACGAACAGTAGGCTACTTTTATATCCAACTTTATAAAACGAGTCGGGCGATAATACATTTTGTAGTGAAACTTTAAAAATCAAGCAGTTGAGATTTGCTAGAGTACAAAATGCTTTATCTGACTGCACTGTGTGTTGGATAATACATGTATAAAACTTTATATAGAGAGAGCTTTGTGATAATACAATTTACATTTTGCAAGTAGCCTATATAAACAATCAGAGATTTGCAATATAGTATTTACTGCTTTAAGTGAGCATACTAATTATTAAGTTTGTATCGTATTAATAAAAAATAAGATGCATTTTTAATCTAATTATTTGAAATGCTAAAAATCGTGGCTGCAAATGCGTTATCTGAATGGAAGATCATGTGAAGCACAATGCATTGTGGGATACAGTGTACTGCATATTGCACATGAAATGCTATATATACTGCACGTTACAAAAAGAGTAGTATGGTAGTATGCCATTATGAAAAGGTTGTAAATTATATGTTTGTATTAACAATTAACAAGAGAAGGACATTCAGTTGTGTTCTCACCGGACAGGCTGAATCCAGACTGGTGCAGGTTGCGAACTGGTTGAGGAGCAGTTTTGACTGGAGAAGTCTTACCAGAAGTGACAGGGGTCATGACCTTAGGTGTCACAGTGACCTCACACACAGGGCCGTCGTATAGACCTCGCGGGACTCCGCGCAGCTCAGCAAGCTGTGAAGAGAGACGCCGTAATTTCTCCAAATCATGACTCTAATCACTTGTGATGAGTTTTTATGTGTGATGTGCATCTCTCTTATATATGAAGAGTTCAGATGCAAAAGCCTCAAAATGCCATTTGAAATTTTCTTCTTTAATGATGATTTTTAGCAAACTTGTATATTTAAGTTCAGTAATTTCACTTAAATGTACAAGTTTGATAAAAAATCATCATTAAAGAAGAAAATTTCAAATGGCATTTAGAGGCTTTTGCATCTGAACTCTTCATATATAATGTGTATGTACCCTGCTGCGGGCCTTTATCCTCTTGTAGACGTAGTCTGGGAAGGGTTTACGGGCGATGTAGCGTCCAGAACCCTCAGTGGTGTGCAGGTTTCCGTCCTCTAGGACGATCTTGCCCTGGCTGATCACCACCAGAGGAGCTCCACGCACCTCAATCCCCTCAAAGATGTTGTATTCCACCGCCTGAGGACGACACAACAAGGGGAAAGCGCTCACATCTGCGTTCTACAAATGTCTGTGTAGTCACTTTCAACAAATAATTACATATTGAAACATTATGGATATACAATGAATTCTTAAACTTCAAGTTTTTGAAAGAAGTATCTTATACTCGCATAGGCTGCATTTTATTCTGTCTGACATCTTCATATATGAATAAATCACACTCAACATGATCAAAATTATGTATCTATTATCTATCAACAATGGATAATTACTGTAAATCGAGTCAAAACTATTTCAATGTTGTATAAAAACAATTATAAAATGTAAAAACTACTTTTTTCCCTGTAAATCTGTAATATTCATTCATATTATATTGACCAATACTAACAATATTTTCAGTCACATGCAGTCATTTGATAACAAAATTGGGGTTGGTAAGATTTTTAAAGGGCACCTATTATGGTTTAATATTGTTCTGGGAGTCCCCAACAACAGTTTTACAAGCATGCAATGACAAAAAACACTTTTGTTGTCTTATAATATGCATTTATTTTTACCTGATTTGCTCACCGACTCCCATATGAATCGTTTTGTTTTTGAAAGCATTTATTTGATCAAAAATACAGTAATATTGTGAAATATTATTACAATTTAAAATAACTGTTATATGTGAATATATTGTAAAGTGTAATTTATTCCTGCGATGTTCAGCATCATTACTCCAGTCTTCAGTGTCACATGATGCTTCAGAAATCACTCTAATATGATGATTTGTGGCATTTTTGATTATTATCAATGTTGAAAACAGTTAATATGTTTGCGGAAAATCGAAAAATAATTTATTTGAAATCCTTTGCAACATTTCTTAATGTCGTTTTTGATCAATTTAATGCATCATAATGCAAAAATAATCCCACGACTGTAAACTGTTCAGAGGTCACCAGCGCTCAGCGACAGCAAGTGTGACCTCGTGATAGTTCACTCTTTCCATGTTTGACCGCATCAGCATCTCATTCCAGTCAAATTAAATCAGTGTAGACCGCAGGATTGGCCTCGCTGACAAACATGAGCGGACAGAGCGAGCGAGTCAGCAGAATATTAAAACAGCTCAGAGCAGAGGATCATGGGAGTCATAACTAATGGTGTCGCCCACATTAAGGTTCATTTAAAGACAGACAAACAGCCTGTGATGTAACTAATGTCACATTCAGACCCCAAACTCTTCTCACCAGGTGGTGACTCTTAGCGGAGATGATTTTGGTGGTGTCGGGGTCCCAGAGCACCAGATCGGCATCAGAGCCCACGGCGATACGGCCCTTGCGTGGGTACAGGTTAAAGATCTTGGCAGCGTTGGTGCTCGTCACAGACACAAACTGGTTTTCATCCATCTTCCCTGTCACCTGTGAAGCAGAACATTCATCTTAAGGACAAGGTCACAAACGTGTTATGGGAATAATACAGTAATGAAAGTTACATTGATTTTTTTTTTTTTTTTCACCAAAGTATAGGTATAGCCTTTAAACAGAATATCACTTCCATAAAAGCAATAAAAGTACCTTTTATTATTATAAAAAATGCTAACATGTATTATTGTTTATAATGATAATATTTATTTATAGAGATAATAATAATTTTAATAATTAAAATAATGCAACATGGCTCATTCAATCAGATTTGAGAAAATAGACTAATAATTGATAAATAACTGTTTTTCTAAATGTACCATAAAAATTTATTATTTATAAAAAATATTGATTATAATCATTTAAAATAATTTCACATTCAGATTTTAGAGAATAAACTATTGATTGATAGATAACATGAATACCCAAAAAATATGAATGTACCATAAAAATATTCATTATAATAATTAAAAAAAAATGCAACATGGCTTATTTAATCTGATTTTACAGATGACACTATTGTAAATACCCAGCTACCTTATAGTAATAACAATAAATATTATGATAATTATAATAATCAAAACAATGCAACATGGCTCATTCAATCAGATTTTAGAGGATAAACTAATAATTGATAAATAACAGTTTTTATAATGTACTATATAAAAATTCAAATTTATTATTTATAAAAACATATTGATTATAATAATTTAAAATAATGTCACATGGCTTATCCAATCAGATTTTAGAGAATAAACTATAGATTGATAAATAACATGAATACAAAAAAATATATATAAGAATGTATCTTATATTAATAATAATAATAATAATAAAACTGCAACATGGCTTATCTAATCTGATTTTACAGATGACACTTTTGTAAATACCCCGCTACCTTATAATAATAACAATAATTATATTATAATTATAATACTCAAAACAATGCAACATGGCTTATCTAATCAGATGAAACTATTAATTATTAAATACACACTTTGGCTGCAATAAACCAAAAAAGATAAGCCCATAAAAAGTAACAAATGATTTTGAACAGCAAATTCTCGTTTAATCTGGATCTGTAACACACCATATGCACATATAAAACATATAAAGCGTCTCTCACCACACACTTATCCCAGATGATGGACATTCTCTCCTCAGTGCCGTTGGTTCCCTCCGGGATGAGGGTGAAGTTATCCTTGCCGACGGCCCTTTGAGAGGTGTTGAAGGTGCAGTGGGCACTGCCAGTCACCTGCAGATCACCACTACACAGAAAACACACGCAAAACAGGCAATATAATGTTGAATACCATGCAAATACTATGGTTTTTTTAAATATGTTCTGTTGTGTGTTGCTAAACTCCATGTGAACGTCTGATAATAAAAAACAAGCATCAACTTTTTTTATAATAATACATGCAATTTTATGACTGCATATGAATCGAGATTAACTGAGAAATATAATTTCCTGTCACAACACAAGCATTTAAAATGAACCAGTAAAGGCAAAAAGTTGTTTAAAATGGTGGAAATATGATCAGTTACAGGATATGAAATACACTTTCCCTTATAAATCATATACATTTGATTATAATTGTTAGATAAAACACATCAGTGGAATTATATATATATATATATATATATATATATATATATAAATGATATAACCATCAGATACCTTCACTGTACTGTGTTATTTTAATATAATTAAGATAATATTATAGCTTTTTATTCACATTTTGAATTTGATGTATATATTTTTCATTTTAGTTTTTTTATGCCTATACAAATGTTATAGTTATTTTAGTACATCAAGTTAAAATGAAAGTAACTGAAACTGAAATAAAACAAGTTTAAGTTTTTTATATGAATATATTTTTTTTGAGTTAACGTTTATTTTTTATTAAAGACAAATTTTAGTTTTAGCTAACTACTCTGAAACTTCTCCCACAGTTTTTTTGTAAGCAAAGCAATTTCTTTCATAATCATTTGCATTTAATCTTAGTTTGTGCGTTGAAAAGCTCACAGTATAGGCCGTTCTTTGTATAATGGTGCCCTCTAGTGATCAGTCCATTAATGTTCGTCCCTTAGCAAACAGGATGATGAATGGGTGAGCATAATGAAGAACCCCTGCTCTGCACACACACACTCACTGTGGTCCAAATACCCCCTGTAATCTAAGTCCCATAATGCACTAGGACACGCACCAGGCCAGCAGGGAGTTGAGATAGTCCGGGGTGGTGGGGTCGGGGCTCAGGGGTGGAGATGTGATGTAGGCTGCAGCTTTGGCCCAGTTCTTGCTCCAGTAGTGAGTGCCGTCTGTGCCCAGGCTGGCTGAGATGGGCTCTCCGTACACCACGGTCCCTGAGCGGAGAAAGCACAGGGTCAGGGTCGCTACAATGCTTTGAAGAGCTGTTTGCTGCTCAGTAAACACACTAGATTTAAGAGCTAAGCTCATTAAAGTCATTAAATCATGTTTAATTTGGACTTCTCTGTGCATGCTCTTTGAGGTAGTGACCATAGACCTGCATTATATGACTGACAGACAAGAACGGTTTGACCTAAAAATATAAAAAATGAAACTATTGTGGAAACAAAGACCCCATTGAGGTAAGATAAAACATATCAAAAATTAATTTCAAAGTGAACTATCCCTTTAAATGCCTCATGCATCTGTTTCAAATTCTAAAGAGTTGTTTTGTCTGATTATGTCTGCTAAACAGCTAAAACCAGTCAATGCAGGATGGCTGGACGGTTTAAGCTGTTAAAGCTGGTTTAGCTAGTCACCCAGCCTTACCAGCTAAAGAAGTGCGAAAACCCCTTTAATACCAGCAATGACCAGACTGGAAAACCATCTTAGTCTGGTTTTAGCTGTTGTTGTTTATTTTATGATCCCTTACTGGAAATCAAGTCAAAAAAGACTAATACAAACGCCCTTCTAATAGACATTAGCATAATGCTAAGCTAACTGGTAGTTTAACAGTTATTGATCATTGCACTTATTATAGATAGTGATTTTTTTTTTTTAAATTTTCATTACAAATATGTGAAACGATACATCATGAGGCAATGTACTTGCTCTGCTGAAAAATAAAATGAAATTAAAAATACAAAAACTGAAGCTAAATGGTTTAACAGGGTTATTTTCGAGGGGTTTTGGCCAATTATTTCACACTGGGAGACCAATTTGTCCTTCTTATCCCTAGTGAAAAAAAAAAAACATTGATTTCATACCAAGTAGGCCTAAGCTACAAATCCATTAACATATTTACTGACATATAGCTTGAGACTTATTGATGTAATTCAACTTTACGTGGAGTACCTCTTAATTGGGCAGTGCGCATTTCTTTATATTAAGCCTAAAATATGTGTGAGTTTTTTTAAACATCACTATTAGTAAGGATAGTATGATATCTGTATAATATCAGTCTTTAAATGCAAGATATGTAAAGTGTACCTAAAGTATACTCGCAATAGTTCCACTAGCACAATCAAATATACTTAAGTATATCTTTAGTTGGAACTTTTTCTGAATAACTTAAATGCATTAAGTACAAAATTAGTTTTAATTTAGCAGACTTTAAAGTATATCAATTTAGTATACCGAAAGTATAATTGCAGGGTAGTTACATTAAGTACATAAATATCTAAATGTATTTGTAGTATACTTAGCATAAAGAACCATCTAGATTTCATTATTTCTTATTTTTTATTCTAAACCGTTTTAATTATTCTGATTTCTTTTGATTATTTTAATTTCTTCTATGTAAAGCACTTTGAATTGCCATTGTGTATGAAATGTGCTATATAAATAAAACTTGCCTTGCCTTGCCTAGATATAGCTATTTTTCAGCAGAGGCTTACTAGTATTACTATTTGGGCAAGCATCAGTGTTGGAAGTTGCCTAAAAATGTTGTCTAGGTAGGCAGCACAATAGTGTTTGGGACATGGTCAGTGTCAAATGGCCTCTAGGTAGGAGTCTATCGATAATGTGAGAATTAAACCCACGTGACAGCTTTTTCCAAGCTCATCCAAGTGTTGAGTGGAATAGGACTTTTGCATCAAACATCTGATGTACCTTTTTTCCTAGCCTGGGCGATGACATCAGCGGCACTCTTGCTCATCACTTTGGTGATGTAGAGCGGGCAGTTGGTCTGGTTGGCGATGGTCACAGCCCGGTTGATGGCCTCGGCCTCCACCTATAAAACATCGGCCGACACTCACTGACCTTCAGCTGAAATTACAGACGCAGCCGAGGTAAAGTGCTGCTCAGCACCTCCTGAACGCTGACTGCACTTTATGTGCGCCAACGGACTCGGCTAAAGGTTTCTGGAAGGCTGATACCAATGATCAATGACTTTGGCAGCAAAAACAGTGGGAAAGTGGAAAGTCTGAACTCCCCTGATCCCTAAAGGGAAACAAACCATAAATGTGTTTTAGTGCAGCATGTTTGAAGGTTATTTTGGAAGCGTTTCTCGGGTCTCGATGTACGTGTAAGGCCAATGACGTGCTAAAAGCCTCCTTCCATGTGGTGCACAGCTGTAATTTTCCAGTATGAATGTTCTGATGGTGTATTTGGTGTGGTCTAGATTGTAGCTAAACTATAGTCAAGGTGCGTTTGAAGCGTTTTACCTCCTCTGGGCGGCTCAGAACGTGTCCCTCTGGACCAGTGATACCCAATCCCAGAATCCTCTTCTGCTCCTAAAAGCAAAAAGAGAGTAAAAGAGATTTATATGGATTTCGCGTCAAAACGTAAAAGCCGATTTATCATTACAGCAATGCAGATATTTTACTTTTTACAAATACTACATTTAATATTATATCTTTTCTTTTCATCTGCATGAACTGTGGAAGGATGATAAATGTCATTTAAAATGTCACAATTCAAAAAGTCTTAATGATCCCATATTTTTTCCTTCTTTTGAGGTGATATACTGTAGACTCAATTCAATATAGAAATCAGCTTTGCCATCACAGGAATAAATTACATTTTAAATCTATTCGTACAGAAAACTATGGAAGCTTGTTTGCACCAATGAATAAAAAAAAAAATTACGACTTTTTATCTCACAATTGCGAGATATAAAGTCAGAATTGTGCGAAATAGTCGCAATTGCGAGATATAAAGTCGCAATTCTAAAAAATAAAGTCGCAATGCGAGAAAAAAAGAGAATTGAGACTATTTTTTGCGTATTTACATCTCGCAATTCTGATTTTATATCTCGCAATTCTGACTTTATATCTCGCAATTCTGACTTTATATCTCGCAATTCTGACTTTATATCTCGCAATTCTGTCTTTATATCTCGCAATTCTGACTTTGCCTTTATATCTGGCAATTCTGACTATATCTCGCAATTCTGACTTTATATCACGCAATTCTGACTTTATATCACGCAATTCTGACATTTGCCTTTATATATGGCAATTCTGACTTTATATCTCGCACCAATTGCAACTTTATATCACGCAATTCTGACTTTATATCACGCAATTCTGACTTTATATCACGCAATTCTGACTTTATATCACGCAATTCTGACTTTATATCACGCAATTCTGACTTTATATCACGCAATTCTGACTTTTATATCACTCCAATTCTGACTTTATATCACGCAATTCTGACTTTATATCTCGAAATTCTGACTATATATCTCGCAATTCTGACTTTATATCTCGCAATTCTGACTTTGCCTTTATATCTGGCAATTCTGACTATATCTCGCAATTGCAACTTTATATCACGGAATTCTGACTTTATATCACGGAATTCTGACTTTATATCTCACAATTCTGACTTTATATCTCGAAATTCTGACTATATCTCGCAATTATGACTTTATATCTTGCAATTATGACTTTATATCACGCAATTCTGACTTTATATCACACAATTCTGACTTTATAACACGCAATTCTGACTTTATATCTCGCAATACTGACTTTATATCCTGCAATTCTGACTTTATATCTACAATTCTGACTTTATATCACACAATTGCGACTTTATATAAGAATTCATATCTCGCAATTGTGAGAAAAAGTCAGAATTGTGAGATTAAAAAGTTGCAATTACCTTTTTATTGTTCATTCTGTGGTGGAAACAAGCTTCCATAGAAAACAGACATTTAAAATAGCAATAATATTTCACAATATCACTGTTTTTTTACTGTATTTCTGATCATCAAATGATTGCGGCTTTGGTGAGCAGAAGTGACCTACACTTTTTTTTACATTTATGTGTGGGTACATTTATATATGGTGAGCTCACCTCAGCAATGATGTCACCGTTCTCTGCATGCACCTGGGCGATGGCTCCCATATCCCTGATCCCACTGAACACTTCATACATCTACAGTATAACAGACCGGAGAAACAACGTTCAGTGTGTTTTCTGAGTTCACGCAGTGCAGTGTGTTTTTCATTTGCTCTGGATCTACGGCTTCAGGAAACGTGGTGAAATCCCTCTCCAATACATCAGTGCATGGTGAACTCATCATTACTGCGTTCTCAATGACCCCCAAACACAGAGATTTAGACTTTCTAAATAAACAGTGTTTAATCCAACTTTATAAGCATAATTGAAGGCATATACCTGGGAGTCATTTAGCTGAAAAATATCCTTGTAAGCCAAGTAGACCAGGAAAGAGTTGACACCTGGGCGAAAAAAAGACCAGGATGTTAGACATCATCAGACTTGGAAACACATGAAGAGAAGAGCTGCTAGAACAAGCAAGGTTGAAGTAATTGTGTCACAGACAGGAAAATGTGTGTAATTTCAGCCATAAAGTGAATCTTCACTTTCATCTGGGAATACTGTACTGGGAGGATAAACCTATCACTAATGTAACTGCTTTGCAAAACATTGCAAATGGATTATATATATATATATTATTTTTAGATTTAACCATTTAAATTAAATTATAATATTATAATAACTTACATACGTCCTGGGTGAATTTTGAATAGAGTTTTAACTGTAGAAATAACATACTAAAATCTTGCTTACATTTTCATTGCACATATTGAATTGCTGAATTACAAACACCTCTTTAAATGCGTTTGCGCCTCCCCCAACTCAAACTTCCCATTCCCAGCTCTTATGGGTGCTTGTGAAGGCATCTCAAAAGTTAAATGGTCCAACATATTAGGAATACTTTTAGCTGTGTTGCTGTGTCATGAAAGAAAGCAATTAAAGCAATTGTTGAGCAAACGCGATTGTCTATGTGAAGAGTTCAGATGCAAAAGCCTCTAAGTGCCATTTGAAATTTTCTTCTAGAATGATCATTTTTATCAAGCTTGTATGTTTAAGTTCAGTAATTTCACTTAAATTGCAATGAAGATAACCTATTAATTGTCATTTAAGTGAAATTACTGAACTTGAATATATAAGCTTGATAAAAATGATCATTCTAGAAGAAAATTTCAAATGGCACTTAGAGGCTTTTGCATCTGAACTCTTCATTTATAATAAACCCATCCAATGTTTCTGCACATACCGTGATCTTTGACCAGCGCCTCGACCTCCTCCTGCATGCCCTTGTGCCACTCCGTGATGTCCACATGGAGAGAGTAATCACAGCAGGACTTGTGGTCGGCCCACTCCCTCCACTGGTTAAAGGCAGCGATCAGACTAACGCCCGGCTCCGGAACCACATGATCGACTGAAAATACACATCATCAAAAATATAAATATATTGATCCCATTTATACTTAAAGCGAGGGATCATGTGTATATACTATAGAATTAAACGGAAGGATATTAAACACGTCCCAAACATTTTTGGGTTTAAAAGACACTTAATGTTCAGTGATATTATTAATTTGACTGTGCTGACACTATTGGGTGAGAACAAAACTTGAGCTGGATAATGAGAACAATCTTCAATAGAGCCGTTTCATAGCTGAATCGAATTTGTTTCATAATTGACCGTTAT